CGTAGCATCTGAATATGTAATGATATGCAGGGCGTTCTATTTTAAAAAATGGAATTTTGGTCTGTAGCACCTACACCAAACACCCTGTATATTTAAAAATTATATCAAAATATAGCTCTCATGAACTCCTAAAACTTTTGTATGAAACATTTTTGTGTATCTCCTTCAACAAACCAGATATTGCCTGTCACATAAAATGTGGGACACCCGGTATACACTTGGAACTCGATGAGGTTGAAAAATCGACAGTGACAATTATTCATTGTTTATTAGTCTACTAAATAATTCCTCAACCAATGAGTGAAACATAAAATTCGTACAACCCAAAATTTAACATCAATTACATCAATTCTCCTTTCATTATTTACTCTCCCAAAATCTTTTGTGCGTATTACATAAACGGTAGCTGCATATGTTACAGTCTACGACAGTAGCGTGACTATTCTTGATAGATTCTGATGTTTTTACCCATTCGCAAAAGTTTGTTTCATTTGTGTTATCCGGCTTCTGCCAACATCTTCTCTGCACCATAGGCATGGCTCCATCTGAAAAAACACAAATTCATTATTCAAAATAAACAAATTCAACAGAATGTCTGCCATATGAAACCGTTAATGATTTTTCAATCTTGAATTGAAATGTGGTTAAAAAATCCAACCTGACCAATAATAAATATAAAATACGCAATAAAGTCATGAGACCACAGTGTTTTTCGGAGACTTGGGAAAAAGATGACAAGTCAGATGATAGCATAAAAAGTTATAAATGAATCAAAGTAAAATCTGAGAGACGACTTAGGTGCAGAATTTTACCAATTAAGAAGCTATCTAGAATTTGGACTCATCCAACACACTTTTTCTATTTTTCATAATTCATTTATTGAATTCACCATATAATTTTTATTTTCCATTTGAATCTATTTCTACTGTTAACAACAATTTTTTGCATATCAACAAAACAGAAAACGCCTTCTCGGTTTCGAACCAGTAAAATTTGGAAAGCATATTGGAACTGAAAAATTACGTAAACAGAGCGATGTAAAACGTTCAATAAAACAAGAACACCAGTTCAATGCAAGTAATGAAAAGCGATTCTGGAATGTTCTGAGGGTAATTGATATTATTCCTCAATAACGTCATGAACTTCCCGAACTCTAGAAGAATGTTAATGAAATCAATTATTTGTTTTATCAACTCTGTGCCCAACAATGAATCTTCAAATGAGCTTTCAGAATTTTATGAAAATAGCTGATATCAGGACACCATTATCAGTTCTCTGAGAGTGATGATTTGTTTGTGTATGGAACACTTTGTCATATTAAAACTAATACGAAAGGATATGATGATTTGAAATTGAGTTTAATCAAGATTGGCGGTTTGTGTCTTGAGTTGAATCAGATTGGAGATTCCCTTACCCTTTCAACGTGTGTTCGTTAGGAAGACGAATGATTCAAAACTGAGATTGGTTGGTTACGGAATGAAGGTTCATGACCTCTATGCCATCCTGACCCTGTGCACTCCTTTCTGGCTGTGGTGTTTAATGAACAAACTTTTCACTTTCTACGGACGTCGTGCGGTCTCCCCTCGTGACGGGGCTTTCCGTCTAATGGGTTTTCACGGGTTTCCACTGGCTCGATAACTATCTGATTCTCAACCGCAGGAACTGCTGTACAGTTAACAGCTTTCAATCTCTGCGGATGGCTTGATTCCGCACGAACCATGGACCATGCACCAGCATCCTTAGGATATCATTTTGCAATCTTTCCAGAATGAAAAGATCAGTCAAAACGGTTTGTCCCCAAGCGCCTGAAGCATTCATAATGACAGGCTTGAACATCGTATTGTACAATAAAACCACTGACTCGACAACTATCTGATTCCTCAACTAGAGAGACTGCTGTATAGTCAACAGCTACAAATCTCTGCAGATGGCTTCATTCCTCACGAACCATAGGCCATTCACTAGCATGCGTAGTATATTATTTTGCAATTTTCCCAGTATTGGAAAATTAGTCGGGACGGTTTTTCCCCAAGCGCCTGAAGCATTCATAATGACAGGCTTGAACATCGTATTGTACAATAAAACCACTGACTCGAAAACTCTCTGACTCCTTCCACTAGAGACACTGCTGTATAGTAAACAGCTACAAATATGTGCGGATGGCTTCATTCCTCACGAACCATGAACCATTCACTAGAATGCGTAGGATATTATTTTGAAATCTTCCCAGAATTGAAAGATTAGTCGGAACGGTTTGTTCCCAAGTGACTTAAATATTCATAATGACAGGCTTGAACATCGTATTGTACAATAAAACCACTGACTCGAAAACTCTCTGATTCCTCAACTAGAGAGACTGCCGTATAGTCAACAGCTACAAATCTCTGCGGATGGCTTCATTCCTCACGAACCATGGACCATTCACTAGCATGCGTAGTATTTTGCAATCTTCCCAGAATTCGAAGATTAGTCAAGACGGATTCCAAGCGCCTGAAGCATACATACTGACAGGCTTGAACATCGAATTGTACAATAAAACCCCATTTTCAAGGTCGACCTTAGATTTTTTGTTGAGCTTAAATTTTTGATTGATCAGAAGATAGAATTTGGCTACCCTCGTTCGAACATTGCTCTAGATGTTCTCAATGTGGTGTACCCAGGTCAGTCGATGGTCTATCATAGACCCAGATACTTGATACGGGACTCTCCCATTCATTCTTTTTGACTGAGATCGTTACCTCCGTATCAGGAGGAACATCACGTCTCCACAAATCTATCACCTATGTTTTATCTTGGTTCACTCAGATCTTTCAGTCAAACAGATTTGAACAGGTATAGTCTATCCATTCCCAATTGGAACGGCAATGAACATAATAGTACAGTCATAAACATTTCTTGCCTGTGGCCCCTAGTCGCCAGATAGTTAGTAAACCTGCTATCAAATGTAGTTGAGGAATAAAGGCTCGGCTAGCTGGACTGGCTAAATACTAATTTTTTTGTCCGTTTCACAATATTTCTTTATCGGTGTCGTGTGTTCGTGGGATTAGGTGAGGTAGTGAGTGGTTTTGCAAACCGATTTTTGAGAACTTTTTCTAGAGATCAATTACCCCAACACCAAACTGATATTTTTGCACTTGACGCGCGTTTCGCTATCAAGGTTAGCATCTTCAGGGGAAGCCAATTGGTACTGAATCTAAAGACAAGGGTTAGCTGTTTATATACCTAAAGTTTTTTGGTTCTTTGTGGACTTTGTTTGTTGAATGATGATTATCCTAATTGATTATTCGGTAATCAACTAGTGGAACCACTACCTGCAAATTGATTTGTCCGCTTTTTATCTACTGTTGACAAGTCGAGTGCAAAAATATCTGTTTGGTGTTAGGGTAATTGATCTCTAGAAAAAGTTTTCAACTTTTACACCAAAGGTTCCAATCTCATCGTTCCAACCGATTTTTGTGAAAATCTTAGTGTTTTTGGGTACTTTCATCAATATGGCTTTCTGGAGACCTTTTGAAACATATGATAACATTACGTGTGAGAAATCTGTGTCAGTCGACAAGGATCCGGAATTCAAAAATTAGGACTGACATGTTCAAGTTCAGCGAGTAATTTTAAATATTCATGAATGCTTGAAGAAGGAAAACTGCCACACTTCACAGAATGCTATTGTGAATAGAATATGCGAGTTAACGAAACTATCTCGTTCGACAGTTCTTCAAATCATTAAAATAAAGGATAGCATTGACCATGCAATGAAACGAAAACAAAGGAATGAAAAATTTGCAAACGTTGATGGTGCTATAAAAGATGTGAATCGGCGAACAATTTATGGTATATACTAAAAAGAATGAAGTATCAACCTTGGAAATGATTTGGTATAAATACTCGACTATCCCGATTACAATTACAAATCTTTAGAAACTCTACGAGGTGTCTTATTGTTTTGTGGTTTCAAATATTAAAAAGTTGAACAATCGAATGGTCATAATGGAATAGACACGCATTATTCAACTACGACAACAATATTTTAGGCGAATGAAAAGCTACCGAGAATCCAGCAGACATATAATCTACCTCGACGAAACTTGGTTTGACATCCATAATGTTAAATATGGCTGGGTAGACGAAACCAAGTATTATGCTTTGAACACACCTTCTAGGGGAAACGTGTTACAATTTGGCATGCCGGGAATGAAAGTGGTTTCGTACATAACGCTTTGCTTCTGTCGGCCAAAAATATAAAAGATTCGTCTGCTGATTACCACGAAGATATAACTGCGGCTTTATTCGAAACCTGGTTCAGTGAGCAGCTTCTCGCAAATGTTCATCCAAACTCGGTTATTGTTATGGATAACGCTTCGTATAATTCCCGATTATTGACTACAATACCAAACAATAACACGAAAAAAGCAGATATTGTTGATTTCATGCGAAATCATGACATGGAAATACCCGAAAAGATTCCAACGAAAAAGGTATTACTGGCGACCATAAAAGAACGTAATTTGAAAAAAGAATATATTATTGATTCGATGTATGAAACACGTGGTCACATTCTCTTATGTTTGCCTCCATACTATTGTGTGTTCAATCCAATTGAAATGGTTTGGGCCACAATAAAAGAAAGCTTGCGGAAATGTAATCAGTCACCGACTTTGAATGCTGTAGTGCTTGACAATATAAGGCGAGTGGTGAATGAAGTAGGTAATAGTGATGTGTGGAGAACAAATACCATGTGCAAAGTTCCATAAATCCGATCGTTATTCAACCCGATGATGATTCCACCTCATCCGAATATAGCGAAGAAGAATTTTGATTTTTCTAGTAATTTTGTTGGCCTCTATTATTTTGTAAATATATGTTTGGCGAGAATTCGGTGTGATTATTTGTGTTTGAATTGCATTTTAGAGTTTTTGACTCGGAAATCAACTACCTTAAATTTCGAAGTTTTTCATAATTACCCATGGTGGAAAAATTCAGTTGAGATAACTTTTTCATGGATTAATCAATTGCTATGATTGTAAGAATAAGTAATTGAAAAACTACCAGTTAAAAATAATATGCCGACGCCTATGTCGAGGCGGGAATTCCTTCTCTGTGCTGTTCCAATTGGTATTGGAAATACTATACCCGCGTTCAAGTTCGTCCAATGCACGTTGCATGTAGATGGTCCCCAATTCATGGTCCATGGAAGGGGCGTGGAGCGTATCACCGGCGTGAAGAAAAACCGTTACGTGATTGAACCTGGGAAGGTCGCTCACGTAGACGCTGTAGAGTAGTGGAGACAGCACAGTTACCTGGGGCACTCCAGCTTGAATTTTGTAATTTTATTTATTTTGATATGGTTAGCTCAAATGTAGAGAAAGTTGAAATTATTTTATAGACAAGCTAATCGAAATCATCATGTGGCCGCAAGATTATTTAATATTTTCTAAGACAGACCAGTTTCTCCCAGTCACGTGAAAAGTACTATGCAGAAATTCACTTCAAATTTTAGCGCAAAAGTCATTCAAAAATCTAGCTACTCATTCATTAAAACCAAGTG